GGGGGGGGGGGGGGGGGGGGGGGGGGAATAGGTTGGTATTATACATTTTGTCAATGTGTGAATTTGGTGGTCCCTCAGCTTGACAAGAGATTAGGATTTTTTCTAACAGCTTGATTGTTATTACTTTAAATATGTCATATTGTATTGTATTGTTACTTTAAATATAATATTTATTTTAGTTGTTACTTAAATTTTGTTATATCGTATCATTAAATATATCGTTACGTAATGACGAAAAATATCAATTTATGTAACGACCCATTTGATATGGTTATGTTGTTACTGTTTTACCCAAAATTATTTAGACTTCTTGTTGAGCCAATTAAATAAGAAGAGTTTAGGTAAATCTTAGCCAAAAATAATTTATCCTAGATCTAAGATAGAAGATATGAGTAAGTAAACAAAGCAAGCATAAGATTTTGCTATAACATTGATTAAACCCCATTATATAAGAGGAGGATGGTGGTTTTATAACATTAAATAACAATGAAGAAGGTATAAATGAGAAAGGTCACTGATCTTTAACATGATAGAACTCCATACATTTGATATGATGGGGCTAAGATATATATTGAGGATCAGAACTTCATTGCTTCTTTTTCCTTCGTGGGAAGAGGGGGAGATGAAGATCCTTTCTCCTCTCAGAAAGCAAGTATGTGTTTAGATTTGCTTTTGTTCTTCCCTTTTCTTCTTCTTCTCCTTTAGTTTATATACTAGGTCTTCTTCCTTTACCTAACAGTCATTAACCATAGTATTTAAGTCGTTTGATTATATTACGGGTTGACCCTTTGAAATGTTATTACATCCAATTCGCCGCTTAAGCGTTCTAAATACATGACCTCGGCCCATGGTCGAGGTGTGTGTTATTATGGCGTGGTATGGACATGACTTCGGCCCAAGTAACATTTGCCATCCCTTTCCACACAGATTCTTATTCGGTCAGATTTTGACCCATACAGTTAGTCTCTCCACCTATTGGGGTCGCCTTTTGGCGAGCTCGATGGGCGGACCTTGTCGATTTGAAAGTTGTGAGAGATCTAAGCACTCTATGCAATAGGCGAATACCACGTGGCAAGGCAGCGACGTGATGTTTTGAGAGCTGCGTCAGATTCTACGTCAGTTCAGAAAATGTCATTAAAAGCTCCCCATGCGTCATTATGACGCGTGTTTTCTATGCATTGCATCGTTTACAGTGCCCTTTCTATTTTCAAAACGACAGCGTCTGGCTTTCCCGCTCGAGGTATTTATGTCCCTATAAATAGGGGAGAATCTTTCATTTGAATGTTACGCTTCTTAATCGCTTAAGAGACATCTTTTGCAACTCTTCTTCTTCTTCAGTTTCTCATAGTTCTGCTTCTGTTAGAAATTCTTGTGACCGCTACCTTTTCCCTTATCATTCTCGTCTCTCTCAATCAAAGAAAAAAAATGACTATCACACCTTCCAACCCTGATAGAGTTGTTGGTGCTCCGGTGCCGAAAAATGAGGTACCCCTAGTCGAAGAGGGAGGGGGTCCGGTGGAGGATGAGAGTTTTCCGACGGTAGATGAGGTGGTTCCTCGTCTAGGGAAAGTGAGGACTGATTTCAACAGCCTTGCTGGGGATGGGCCGTAACCTGTTCTTTCGATGATGGATACTACGACACTTACGGCATTCAAAGCCAAATAAGGGATTCCCGATCACATTGAACTAGTTTCGGTGGGTCGGGACATAGTGCATATTCACCGCACGGGCTATTGCGCGGTCTACGCCTATCCATTCATCATTGGATACGCGTTTCCCCTTCCCTCGTTAGCGGTATACTTCTGCCGCTTCTACGAGGTGTGTCCAGCTCAACTCTCTCCGTACGTATACAAGCTCTTCCTTATGCTTAGCAAGTATGTGGAGCTAGCCGATCGGGGAGTTTCTCTTCAACATATGCTTCATCTCTTCACCCCTCATTTTCTTAGGGGCACGATTATCCACCTGCACCACCGGGGGACCAAGAGTTTGGTGGTGAAGATGGATGACAAGACTAACCACTATTTATGGGAGAATTTCTTCTACGTCCGGACAAAGCATGTGGTGTCGAACCCAGTGGGGTCCATGAGGCATAGAATTTCGCCTGTGAGTCTCCCCTTCCTTTTATTACATTACCCCCTTTTTTTTATCATGGGTGTGGGTCATTTCTCTTTAGTGACCGTAGTGTTTTCTGTTTTCGTAGCCGAGAGGGTGCCTCCTCCGCAGATCGCCAACATTCGCGAATGGGTGAGCGCAATTCTCCCCCACACTATAGGGATCCCCGAATGGGCGTCTTTTTACGAGAGGTTTGGGCGCAAACCTTCCACTAGTAAGTCGGCTTATCTCGGCCTTCATTGCTTTATTCTCTGCTTCATCCTTTTCTTATATTCGTTTGACCGAAGTTCTTGTCGGCAGGTCGGAGAGGAGCGAGAAGGGCAAGGGCTCATGCCCTTCCTTTCCTTCATCCGGCTTCCTCTACCCGTCCCGTACCAAGAGCAACTGTGGACAAGGGCGGCCAAAGTTTGGTTGCTCGGCGGACCGTATTCGCGACCGAGGCTATTCATTTTGAGGTTACTCTTCGGTCGAAGACTCCGACCCTTATAATCTGTTCAATAGACGAGTCTTCTCGTGTCAGCAGCAAAGAGGCTCTGTCAAATAGGCAGAGGATTATGTTGGAAAGGGCATCTTTGGTTGAGACGCCCTCGAGGGGCGACCTCGTTTTGGCAGTGCCTGAAACCAGCGGTGGTGCCAGCTTGGGTGTGGAGGCAGTGGCCGTTGCGGGCATGGAAGAGGATGCTATGGCAGGGGGACAGAGTTCTGAGGCTACCGTGATTGTTCTAAGCGGCCCATCGATGTCTCGACCGGCCCATAACCCATTTTCGGCTAATGAAAGGTCGAAGGGCGTAGTGGTGGAGGATTATGAATTCGATTCTGACATCGATCCTGAGGACATGAGGATGTTCGAGGAAGGCTTTACCAAGGTAGATATAAGGCCTTTCCGTGTGCTCGAAATCCCGTCGGACTATAACCTGTTAGAGGACACGGTGGATTTGGTGCCTCAGTTTGACCTTCTATGCTTCACCGTCGAGAGCAGATCTCTTCGGGAGAACAATGATTATGCTTTGTCATGTAGTGTGGCCGGGATGACCTTGAAGGTGAGATTCCTTTTGCTATTTTCTTTGTTTTGTGCCCTTTGCTTTCGCTGATTCTTTTTTTTAGACTTACATGCTGGAGATCGAGAATTCTTGTAGGGCTGAGACACGGGCTGAAGTCTTCCTGAAAATGGCGAGAAGTATCGGCGATATCGTAGCAGGTTCCGTGAAATGCACGAGCTGCTCAGGATGGATACTAGTACTCAATACAATAGGGAAGAGTTGAAGAAAAGGGACGAGGATCTGATGTGGTCTATCCGTAGGTGTAGCGAGCTTGAGGAGCTTCTTAGTGCCAAAGATGAGGAGCTCGAGGTGGGAAAAGGGGTTGCGACGGAATGCGAGGACCTTTAGGCGAAGGTGCTGTCTTTACGAGCCGAGCTTGAGCAAAATGCCACTAGAGTTGCTAACCTAAGCGTAAAGTGGACATAAAGGTGGCTGAGCTAGAAACGAAAGTGGCCGAGTTGGAGAGAGCCAAAGGACCTCGAGTGGCTGCTTTGACAAGGGCGGCGGCGCTGGAAGATACTATCCGCATCCTCAGGTCTGAGCGGGAAGCTGAGAGGGCGATGACCACACTGAGGGAAGCATGACTCGAGGAGCGGATTGGTGAACTTGATCGGGATGCTTCGAGCCTGGGAGACCGAGTTATGGCCCACGAGGCCGAGAAGGCACAGTTGTTGGCTCAGGCCCACACTCAAGAATCTACCCATATTGATGTCCCCCCTCCCCCCATTTATACGAGTTATGGGTCCGATGAAGCCCAACGAGATATTTATAAGGGTTTTTGGACGGCGGGGAGCGTTCTTGAGGCCACTTTTGAAGATGCTAGAGTTAAGGTACGCAAGGCTCGTCTTGCCTGTGGTTATGATCCAGCGACAGCAGAGGCCGGTGGGGATGCTGAGATCGAAGATGGGCTTCTTTCCGATGATAACGATGCTGAATAGGACGGTGGTGGAGATGAGGCCAAGTGAAGTTGTTATAGCTTTTTGAACTTAGCTCTTTTTTTGTTGTTGTTGTTGGGTGGGGGCGTCCTCGAGCCACTTGTAAAAAGTACTGTAATATGATATTTGAAATAGAATAATTGTCTTTTCGCTATGTATTTGTGGGTTTCCATTCTCTTCTTCTTGTTTGCTATGTGGGAGTCCTTGATTTTTTGACCGTTATGTAATATTGATTTCGGCAGAGTTGAACATAGACCGACTTGAGGTTGGATATTAATTAGCTCGAACAAGGTCGAGGTTTGACTGATTTGAATGAGATAGAAGGTAAAATAATTCGAGCGAGGTCGAACGTCAAACAATTCGAGCGAGTCATATTTTGTTTTCGCTTGGCGATGGCTGGGGGTCGCATGGGTATGAATTCGAGTGAGGTCAAATTGTAACCTGTTATGAGTTAGATCGAGGTTGAACCTTCCTCTCGCTTGGCAATGGCCTATAGACGTAAGGGTGTAAATTCGAGCGAGGTCGAATTTGTAATCCATTATGAGTTCAAGCGAGGTCAAACTTTTCCTCTCGCGTGGCGATGGCCGATGTCCGTAAAGGTGTAAATTTGAGCGAGGTCGAATTTGTAACCCGTTGTGAGTTCGAGCGAGGTCAAACTTTCCTCTCGCGTGGCGATGGCCGTAAGGGTGTAAATTCGGGCGAGGTTGAATTTGTAACCCATTGTGAGTTCGAGCGAGGTCAAACTTTCCTCTCGCATGGCAATGGCCGATGACCGTAAGGGTGTAAATTCGAGTGAGGTCAAATTTGTAACCCGTTATGAGTTCGAGCGAGGTCGAACTTTACTCTTGCGTGGCAATATGTTGGTTCGGTGATAAGA